GTAGAGCATGGTCCTTGAGCTTGAGGGCTTCATTGTTTGAAAGAAACTCCCTCTGTCCAGTGGCTTGAGGGTTATCGAAGGAACCCAAGCATGTGGCCTGAGGTTTCCCAGAACTTCTCCAACACTGGCAACGTGGCTCTTATGAGTACCAATGAGTATGTACTGCTCTCAATGAGAGGAGGAGGCCAGAGGGTGAAGAGGATGAGAAGGATGCTACCGGTCAAAAATAGACACACATGCCACTTCAAAAGTCAACCCAGGTGAGCTCTGGTGGCCTAGTGGCAAGAAGCTGCACTGCAATCCCAAAGGTCCATTGTTCGAATCTACCAGATGCTGTGCCGGAGAAGGAGGGACAATCTCCTCCTGTACCTGTCAGATCTGATTTGATGGTACACACACAAAAAAAAATAGTAATTTTTTTTTAAAAAAGTCAACCCAGCATGCTACCATTACAAGGGGAGAAAAAAATGTACCATTTCTCATTCATTTCACAAAAATGGAAGCTTGGAAGGAAGAAGAATTTGTGAATGGTGGAAGTTGGTTCAAATTTCTCTGCTCCAACTGGATCAACCCCACAGTTCACTTCTACCCCAAACACACAGCAAAGAGGAAAGATCAGAAGGGATTACACAGCATCACAGCTCCAGGATCTCAGAGCCCAGCCGTATGTGTTGAGACAGAGAGCAGAGCCTCTAAAAGACGTCCTCTCTCTGTAGGACATGTTGATGGGGCTGACGCTGGCAGGCTGGGCCAGAAACATCCTTCGAGGAGTCAGGGGTTCTGACACCCTCACCAGCAGGGAGTCACTGACCTGGGAAGCCATCATCGTCAAGGTCACCCAGGCTGGCGATGCTTTCCCCAAAGTGTGCGTTGTAGACACCATCCCCGGTCAGGGCCAGCTGCTCCTCGAGAGCTCCCTGGGAAACAGGATGAAGGGGGAAAAAAAGAGAAAACAAAACAAAAACAATACAGAACAAACCAAAAAACCAACAAAAAAGCGGAGCTCTGAATACTACCCTCCTAACACACACCCTTAACAGGAAACATCTGGACAGAATCCCAGGGTCCGGCTTCTCCCTCCTGGTGCAGAAATGAGCCTCCTTTCCCTGTGCTGCACCAGGGTCCCCAAAGGCCTCAGATGCCCTTCTGCGGGAAGGAGTCATGTCAGCGGGTCACCCTTGCCACAGTCCTCCAAACACAAACCAGCCTACCAACAGGCAGTTCAAACCCATCAGCTGCACCATGAGAAGAAGTTGTGGCCGTGCGCTTCCGTCAAGACTCACAGCCTTGAAAACCCTGTGGGAAGCTCTGTCCCAGAGGGTCACACTATGAGGAAGAATCAACCAACTTGATGGCAGTGAATTTGGTTTCGTTTTACGTATCATGTATACTTTTAAAGGTTGTCTGTAAATACCACTCTTGTCACAAAAGTTCACTTAGTGTTGCCTATTTGCTAAAAGTCTGGCAGAGCCTGGATTTATGCATTTAGCCATTTCTCTCTTGTTGGCACACTTACTTCTAGACTCTGGGAAGACTCTGCCTTCTCATTGGTCTCCTGACCCCCTCTGAGTGGCCATGCTCCCTGCCTGCCTGCCTCCACTCTCCTCTCAGCCGCAGTCTTTCTGATCCCCTCACAAACTGCCTAAAGCTCTGCCTCTGAGGGTCCTGAGGGTGCGGAACAAGGGGTGTCAGGATTCCAGCCCTCAGCCCACCACCAGTGCCCGCCTAGGTCCCTGCCTCCTCATATTAAACAAAGCAACACTGCTGTTCCACATCCCAGCACGCCAATGAGAGTCCCAAATCCTGACCACTATGGAATCCAGGCCGGTGATGTCGCAGGTATGTATGAGAAGAAAAAAAAAAAAATAACCAACAGTGCAAGTGGGCTCAGAGATGTTCATCAGTTACCTCCTGCCTGTCTGCCTGACCCCTTCAAGATGCTTCCGAGTCCGTGTATTCCATAAGAATACTTCCCAGCCTCTTATCTAGGGACAGAGACACTCCCAGAGAGGCAGTATAATCCACATTCTTTAGAGGGTCCACTCTGAAGCCAGTCTCCCTGGGTTCAAATCCAAGGCCCACCATTTCCTATCTGTGTGACATCAGACAGGTTTCTTAACCTCTCTGGGTCTAAAAAAGCAACGACTATTGATGCTATGTGCCCATCACACTGACATCATTCCTCAAAAGCAAAAGGACAGTCGCTGGTAAATAGAAACACTGCACAGTAATCATTACGTTGTCCTGATCTCATGTAACATTTCTTATCATTTTTCAGTCATGGAACTTCAGTCTTCTTGAAGATGGGAAGCTCATCTTTCCATGGTCCCAGAGCCATGGCCCCATGTGTGACACCCAGGGGAGCTGCCTGCTGGCCCTCTCCCACCCCACGCCCACACGGCCCACCCCTACTCACGTTTCCTCTGTTGATGTAGGTGGTGACCTGCCCCTCGTCCCTGATCTCAGAAAACATGGGGGCCCCCACCAGCAGGTCGGAGAGGCCGTCCGAGTTCAGGTCAACTGCGCATAAGGAGGAGCCGAAGTAAGAGCCCATCTGCAACCAAGCCGAGTCGCAACAAAGCGTTCAGTGTCCGCCCTGTCAAAGGAGGCCCCCTTCTCCTCCAGCCCACTGGCGCTACACACGTGTGCTCCCAAGCCCCCTCAGAGGCCGCGGGGGCGATGCTGCCCCGTAAGGCCAGACGCCTCGGCCAACCGTGAAATACCCCACATCCAGGGCCTCTGACTGCCACAGAGAACCCCCCAAGTCGATGTGGGGCCAGAATCAGTGGCTCAGAGAACCCCTCTCAAGCTGAAGAGAAGTCTCCAGGCCCCTCAGAAGCTGTTTTTAAAAATGTAAGCTGCTTGGGAGGAGACTGAGAAGGATGGGTTCAATAATGTATACTGCATTGAAACAGATGAGGGAGAGAACTGTTTAAGAGGGAAAATTATCAGGGATTTTTGACATGACAAAAGCAAAGGCTGTATAGTGGAGTGGACCTCGGGGGAGGGATTGTAAAACAATGAAAGAATTTTTCTTTTACTTTTCTAAGAGGGGAGTATACTTGGGGGGGGGGGGGGTTGGGAGGGGAGAAAAGTGCAACAATGAATGAATGGAAATCCAAAGTCTCTGTAAATTTTCATTGAAATAAATAATAAATTTTTTAAAAAAGAAAAAATAAAAATGTAAGGTCACGCTGCAAACATAGGTTATAACCATAATAAAAGTGCTTTGTACGTCAGATACTTGACAAGGTCAAGCAAGGTTGTACCGGAAATTTCACAGCACAACTTAGGCATGAAAAGAAAGGTTGCCATGGGAAATAGGGTACCCTTAAATAGCCACAACTGGTTAAAAAGGCATGAGATGGAATGACAGAAAAGGACACAATTCACAAGGTGGTTCCATGGCTAAGGGCACAGAGCAAGGTTATATTAGCCCCTCTTTTATCATAGTGTAACCCAGTGTCTATTACTTGAAATCAGGGCCTCAAACACAAGTTCCTGGGAAGATTCAGGCAGGTGAGGAATTAAGTGATGCTTGGCTTCAGTCTAAAAAGCAATAAGGAGTGGTAGAGACTGTGGCAAACTGGAGTTTACAGACCCAGCGAAAGGGGCACCACCAACTTCACTGCAGCCATTGCAACCAAGGAAACAGCTGACTCAGAACAGGCCTATCTTCCCATATTGTAGAAATGCAAAAAATCCAGAATTTCACTTGACTTGCCTGTTGCGTTTTGTTTTTTAATACCAACTTATTCATATTTTAAAAAATAATACTAAACAAAAAATACTGTTCAGGGCAAATAATAATCTGATAAACTCTATCCCTTCTAGACATTGGCAGTTTGCAAGCTCTGTTAAAAAAAAAAAAAGAGAAAAGAAAACTACAGACTATCCTTTTTAAGTAAATGTTTACTAATACAAGGGCTCTCTGGTATGATTTCCACAAACAAGCATTTTCTTTTACTGTCGGAGTTTGCTGGAAGCTGACCCAGGGGAGTCTGAGTGGAGTGGAGGATACTCCAGCTTATTTCCTGCAGCCCAAACTAGGGCAGGAGGACTTTGAAGTGGTCACTCAGAAGTCCTTCCCCAGCCACATGCCAAGGCCACCTGTGCTCGGCCACCGCCTACCCCTACCAGTCTCAAGGCAGAAGGGCTGCGGAATGTCCAGGATGAATTGTTACTGTGACGGGAAGGACAGACACCCCTAGTCAAGTCACACTTCAAGGGTGCTGCCAAACGCCCCACTGGTGCTTTAATAAAGGAAAAAGGTAAAAGGTAAGCCATGGGCAAGGTCTCAAAGGATGAAGTGACAGCCAGCTCTGTGGATCAGCCCCAGGGGAACAATCTGTTTCCTTCCTCCCACTAGATTATTTAACTTGGCACCTTCTTCAGTGTGAAATCAGAAATTGCTACACATGAAGTTTCCTCTCTAAGGTCTGATGTGCAAAGGCTTCACAAAGTCAAGTTGGTTGAATGAAAATGAAATGTGGCAACAACATGCTTTGAGGGTGAACATTCCTAGGACACAGCAACGCTATCAGCCTGGACCATGTGTCTGTACGTGTGCTATGTTGTACGTGTGTTGGTAAGCCCTCACGTGTTCTATATGATGTGCTGGAGACGATAAAGACCAGAACTGGCTTCTTTAGATTTATGAAGGTAAACCCACAACCCTCTGACTCAGTTCTTGCCCAAAGGCAGAAGTGGACCAGTGGTTTGCTGAGTTAGAATCTTCCTTTCTATGTGGCTCCAGACAGACAGGGAAAGGCAAAGGCATCCTTTGAAAGCTGGGGTCACATCCTTTCCTTAGGAGACAATAAATGGAGAAGTCAGAGAAGAGGGACTGGTTTCAAAATCTTCTCTCACTTCTTCTGGCAAAAAGCAGAATCAGATATACAAAGAAAGAGAGAAGCCTATGTCCAGATCCTAACGCTGGTGATGGTAGAAAAGCTGGTTAGATACCAGCAGAAGAAAGTAAAGGCCAGGGGACTCTGAGCGAGGGGAGAATGGAAAAGTGACCATTGAGAAGGTTAGGCAGGAAGTGGTCTAGAGAAAACTAAAAGTCAGGATGCTGTAGTGTTTAGACATAAGTTACCTGGGCCCTTCCGTCCCTTTCTCAGGAAGTCCCAGACACATCAATAAAGACATTCAAGCAAACACCTAGAACTCAATGGCATTAAGTCTTCAAAAAGTTTGGCCAAGTGGGTTCTCATGTCACCCACAGACACATTTGGCCATACTCTGGGCCCAAGTGTGTGGCTAGGAAAATTAACTATTCAAACTAGGGAGGGGGCCGATGAAAAGAAGAGAAAGCATAATTATAAAATTATTCATATGACTGGTTGCCACGCATACAGTGGCCTGTCCTGGGCACAATCAGCAGGAAGTGGAGAGAGGGAAGAGGAAAAAGGCGAGGAGACACAGCTACAACTTTTGCATTGAGATACACAGTAAACAGGGTGAACTGTTTGTGTGCTCACTTCAATTCACATTGACAAGAATTTTCTAACATTACACTCTCAAGCCCAGGTGCCTGCGAAGTGGGAGAGACAGGCAGGCCTTACACTAGACACACTCATTTATTCTTTTCTGAAGAAAGACCTCCAATATCAGGCTTAGCAGTAATCACACCCTACTTGTTCTTTGGAGCTCTTTAGCAGTGGTTTTTTTCTGGTTTATTTTCCTTTTCTTTTAATCACAACTGGCATGGAGCAATTTCTTTGCTAACTTTGGGTATGCTTGGAAAACATTTTCTGCAGAATCACCCACAGTCATTTTCCACTGTTACTGGCTTTGGGGCTTTGGAAATGTTAAGACAACACTGGCCAGAAAGCGTTCTCTGGGGAACAGAGGCCAATATCAGGAAAAGCTACACAGAACAAAAGCTTGGTGACGCATTTTCTTAAATGAAAAAAAAATTAAAAATTAAATGGTAATTCTGGTGGCACAGTTCATAAGGAGGTGCACCCAAAGGTGGAGCCTCTCTGGTGGGTGGTTCAAATCCACCAGCTACTCCGCTGGAGAAAGATGGGCAATCTCGTCCCATGCAATTTACAGACTCTAGTATTCCCCTGCAGGGTGAGCTATGAGTCACTTCTGACTCAAGGTCAACCAGTCAATGTCAATTCTACTCAATGCCAAGAGTAACAAGCTGGCAATTATATATACAACAGGTGTATGTTGTTATTGTTGTTATTAAGTGCCGTCGAGTTGCAGGCGACTCATAGCGACCCTATGAAAGAGAGTCCTCGACACTTGGGTGTCTTTCATCCTCTCTCCAGGTTCATAGGGTTTCCGGAGGCAAGCTATTACGGAATTGGATGCCATTCTGCCTTGCAAGCTTGTTTTAATCGGGGAGCTCCACCCCATTCTCACATCAGGTGTATACATCAAGGTAATAAGCTGATTTGTTTGTGAGTGGGACATCTGGACGTCAGAACACCGCTCACTATAAACAAGCCATGACCCCAGGCTAGTGCAAAGCAGCCTGGTCTAACCCACAACAGGAAGTGAACTGGAACCAAAACTCGGGAAGAAATAATCATTTCCCCCCCTTTTCTCAGACTTCATTAACTCATTTTTGTTGCTGTCCAGTTAGAACCAACTCTTAGCTTACCCGGCTGTCCAGTCGGTACCAACTCAGAGCTGACCCTCCAAAGGGTTTTCAGAAGCTATAAATTGCAAAGGAGATTATTCATCTTTTATTTGTGGAGCAGTGGGTAGATCTGAACCCTCTGCCTTTGGGTTGGCAGCAACTCCTTTACCCACTAGACCACCAGAGCTCTGGTCCTGGTAGATCAAATCACCTTCCAGCATTCTCATCTCTCCAGGAGTTTGCCCTCCCTAATTGCAGGCATCCTATGTGCCTTCTCAGAGCCCACTAAGACCTCCACAAAAACCAGCCTCGAAAGCTGTGTCAGCCCCCAAATCCTCTCACTAATCTCCCAGTGTGAACCTGTATCCATTCAGAAGTGTCAGCGTCAACCAAACAATCCTATGAATTCAAGCCACGCAAAGATGTATGGACTGCCCATCTAAGAAGAGAATTACTTATTCATCAAAAGAACTTCTAACTGACTTCATGTTAGGCAGCAACGATGATGGAGTGTAATGGAAACTCGCCCTTAACGGAGAGGGTGAGGGGCTGGGGGTGGGGACCACAGAGGCAGATAAGCCTTGCCCAGCACTCACTTCAGGGCTCCCTGAGAAACTCCTGGGAAGAATGGGGTGATTGTTTCGTTTCTCCATGTTTAGCAATCTTTCCCATAACAATAGCACTCAAGGGCCCAGGACAGGGGAGAAGTAGGGGACTAAGGAAAGAGGGACAGTGAGACCCGTCTGCCTGCAAGCTTCCTTTGAAAGACACGGCTTATAGGGGCAGATTTGCTATGTGAGTAACTTATACCCAGGCTCTCTGAAGTTACAGATGTTTATGGATATGGTGAGAGACAGATGGACAAAGTTTATGAGAGAAAGGCAGAGAGAGAGAGAGAGACAGGGAGTGACTTTGACAACAATGGCATGTAACTTGTGAAACTCTGTACTGTAGCCTGGCCAGGGACAAACTCCTCTGGCTACAGGATATCGCCTAAAACAAGCACGAATCTGCAGATTATATTCACTGCTGGGAAGATAAGAACCACCGGGTGCGAAAAAAAAAACATCAAATAAACACACACATTACGTACACTCTTGGGTCTCATTTTCTAAAAATAAAAAACTGTTTCCCATATAATCATATCTCTCAAGCAGAAAACAATAACTTAAGATCTCACCTTTTTACCAGAGGCCTGGAAAATCTTGATTAAAGTGCCCGATCTTCGGTCAGCTCTGAAGATATAAACCTATGGAAAGGGAAAGGGGACAATCTAGTTAGACGAAAACCATCGCCAAATATCTTTATCCGCATCCTACTGGGAATCCTGTCTATACAACAGACCAGGCACATGGCAAGTTTGCTTATGTGGGCTAGGGATCACAAAGAAGTGAAAGTAACTTTCATTTTTCCAACCCTGCCCAGAATCCTTTAGCCTGTGGCAGGAATCGTCTTCAATGTTCCTGGGCCACACACATTTTGGAAGCCACGATACACAGTAAGACCAGGAAGCTTCTAGACTGCAAGTAAAAAATTTAGCCCCTTGGATAAACTAATTCTTTTCTTTCTTGAAACAATGCTATCTGTATTTCTATTAATAAAGATTTCAACAGGTAGGACACAGTGAGTCTCTTCGATAACACAATTTCTCAGAATTTCAGAACCATGTGATCTGTGTATGTAATGGTGAGCTTAGTTTGGGAAATGACACGTTAAACAACATAAAATTCATGTCTTTACTATGAGACTTTTCAGAACCTTGAACACATACACCACAGATCTCCATTTACATAAGACTTCTGAAATTTACTCCAGTACAGAGTTCTTTCAAGTTGCATCATATGGGAACGAGGGTGGTGAACTTTCCCATGAGGTGAGGTAGCTGCCGTCTTAATGAGGATGTTTTGAGTCTGGACACAAGAAATGAATGACCATCATGATCCCGACGGCCAGAGGTCCATGCTGGGGTCCTTGGGAATCAAGTGTGCACCCGGCAGAGTTCCTGGGAACATGGGGTATCAACAGCTTCGTCAATTACAACCAGTTTTCTCAGTTCCTCTCACACAGCTCAAATGAAAGAAACATTCCCATGGCTCTTTTTATTAACTGGATGCAGACTTGCTCTGTCTGGCTCTGTCAGTTATAAACTCCATTCTTAGGACCTGACAAGGATAAGCCCCTCATGACAACCATCTGAAGAGAAAATAATGAAATTAGACAGGATTTTCTGCAATTAGTGAGAAAACAAGGCTGGTATTGTGAGCACTGATGTATCTACAGAGCTGTGAACGCGACTGGAAGTACTTTGACCATGTTGACATATTGTCTGTAGTTCCTGCCCAAGGCGACGCCATCCGTGCAGGGAAATCCACGCTTTTCCCTCCACTACACAGAAGAATTCACGTGATGAGAACGGATCCTCTTCCTTCTTGGCGCTATCAGAGTTCATCTGCATGTCTTCCCCTGCTCGGTGGCTGACTGAGATTGATCTAGTTTTGTTTTCAGTATTTCTCACAGCATCAGGGTCAGCAGGAGCAGAGAGAGCCTTGTGCTTCAGCAGCATAAACCACCACCAAGCCAACCTCAACTCACGGTTCACTAACAGTGTGTGATCGAACTTTGCGTCATAGTTCTACTTTCGTTGTTGTTGACTGTCATCAAATCGAGCACGACTCACAGCGACGCTATGAACAAAAGGCCTGACGCCTTTCTAAACCTATCGTCATTTATCAAAATTCAAAGTTTCCAGAGGCGTTAAACAACAATATTTAGGATGCCACTTCTGCTTCCAATATTGAGGGGTTTTAAAGGAAGTAGGTCATGAGACATTTCTTTTTAAAATAAAATGTTATTTTATTATCTTGTGTGTGTGTGTTCCGTCAAATTGGATCTGATTGGTACAGGAGGAGATTGCCCCTCCTTCTCCGGCAGAGCATCTGGTGGATTCGAACTGCATATCTCTGGGATTGCAGTACAGCTTTTTGCCACTAGGCCACCAGAGCTCCCGAGATATTTCAAGATGCCTCAGGTAGACTTGAACCTCCAGCCTTTTGATTCGCAGACAGATACATTAACTGCTTCAGAAACATGAGTGCTGCTGCTGCTGCTGTTGTTGTTCTATAGTCTCAAGTTGGAACTGACCCATAGCTGACCCTCCAGCAGGTATTCAGAGGTAGTAAATGGCACAGGAGGAGATTGTCCGTCTTTCTCCCATGGAGCAGCTGGTGGATTCGAACCACAAGTTTTCGGGTTGGCAGCACAGCTCTTTACCACTAGGTTACCAGAGCTCTGTACAAACATAGATTTGCTTATTTGCTGTTGATTTGGAACCAACCCATAGCTGACCCTCCAGCAGGTTTTCAGAGGCAATGAATTGCATAAAAGAAAACTGTCCAGCCTTCTCTGGGGCAGCTGGTGGGTTTGAACCGTGTGCCTTTGGGATTGCGATACAGTGTCTTACCACTAGGCCACCAGTGCTCCAGAAACATGGGTAACAAGTCACAGTGTCTGTGCAGGAGAATCCAGGGGACAGAGCCTCATGAGCACACCATAGTCAGGCCTAGTCAGCTACGTGGTTCCTCAGGCCTCATCAGAATGACATCCTGACTCAAGGCACCAATTAGTAGCGGTCTCAGACCACCACGGCCTACCCAGAATCCAGATTCCTCCTCGACAAGCCTCGGCCCTGTTAGGATCACCTTCGAGGACCCTCATCCAAAGGCCAGTCTTCTCTTTTAACCATCAGACAACCTGAGAGTTTTGTGGAAAATGCAAAATTCTTTACCCATTCAGCCAATTCAATTTAAATTTTCTGTAACCAACCAGTTTAGCTGGTCAGGGCTCTTCAGTCAGTCGAATCAACTGATGTCAAGTTGGAACAAATTCATAACTGACTCTAATGGATTTGCCAAGGCTTAAATCACACAGAGGGAGACAGCCTGTCTTTCTGCAGCAAAGCAGCGATAGATTTGAGGCATGATACTTTTGTGTGTTTTTTAAATTTTTATTGTATTATTTTTTACATGTACTGTCAAATAAGATCTGACTGGTACAGGAGGAGATTGCCCCCTCCTTCTCCAGCAGAGCATCTGGTGGATTTGAACTGCGTACCTCTGGGATTACAGTGGAGCGTCTTGCCACTAGGCCACCAGAGCTCCCTAAGGCATGATATTTTGACTATCTCTTAACAGACTACATCACTAGAGCTCCACTCAGGGCCCTTACCGGTCACAACTCCAGAGGGGACTTTAGTAATCCTAGATCCACTATGTCTGATCAGTACTTTAAGGGAAGAAATCCAGGCTCACAGAGTCCCAGGGCGAGCCTTTGGGTTAAAGCAACCTTGAGAATCCAGGGCTTCCTCTAAAACATTAGGGAAATAAATCCGAGATCCTAAACATAACATAAAGCCCTAAAGACTTGGGACTAGACCTGGCTCCATTAGGCAAATTACACTTGGAAATAAATTGGCAGGAAGGATTAGATATCATCCCTCAGTGGGGTCATGGACGTCAATCTTGAAAATCTCACACACACACACACACACACACAGAGTCAGCTATAGAAAAATCTGAGACGAAAATGTACAAAGAATAAAGAGGTCTGAGAGTAGAAGTATTCACATGCTGATTAAGCTGTCAAAGGAAACTCTTTGAAGTGGTTGGAAGGAGACAGTTAAAGAGACCGTCATTACTTCAGTTCTTACCTGCCAGCCACCCAGGAGAATACTCAGACCAGAGCAGGTTAACGAACCCTCCATTAGGAACAGTACCTTTCACCTTCTGGTCTGACTCATCCAATTCCATAGGTTTTTCCTCACCTTTCCAATGCCTTCGTCCTGTGGGGCACCTCCTACCACATCGGTGGCGGACGGGTGAGAGAAATGACCAGCCGTCACCGCATAGCCTGAACGGGATGAGAGGACACCGGGGACAGGGTTGAAAGAGAAGGGTGGGGAAGAAAATGATCCGTCAGTGCAAGAAATTTCTCACAAATGTCCCCCTATCCAGAGAGCTTTGTCCCAGTTATTCCTTAACCACGCAGTATCAGTAACAATGGCAGGTGTCTGTCTTCTCATGCTAAAGTGATCCATCTCTCAAAAGGCGTGTTCCCAACACATGAGCACAGGAAAGGGTGCTGGATGTCCTCTCTGAGACAGGTAAGGTCTCAGGCACTCTAAACCTGTCACCTGTTTTCAAGATACAGTTTTCATACAGAAACAAGTATACACATAAAGTATCGAGCTCGATGTCCGGGAACTCATGTCATCACCCTGTAACAATCATTCAGACAAAGACTGCTAATGTGAACAGATAACGCAAATTCCAGAAAGTTCCCTCACAGCCTTCTCCAGTCAATACCAACTCCAGGTAGTCACTTTTCTGATTTCTATCATTTTATCACATTTGTATCAATTAGGTTTGTGTATTCTTGAACTCCAGTCACGTCTACGGTCATACCACCCTGAACGCGTCTAAAACCCCAGTCAATATAACAGAGTCACTATGAGTCACAGGCAACTTAATGGTGCATAAAAACAATGCAACAATATTCACCCATGTTGTTGACTACATAAGTAGTCATCCATTGGTTTTAGTTTCGGTTTTTTTTGCTGATTAGTGCTCCACTGGATAAATATAGCAAAGTATCTTAATTTATTCTCCAGCTGTTGACCTCCACTGACACATGAAGTGCACTGGCCAGGAATCAAACCAGAGTCTCCTTCACAGAAGGCAAGAATTGCACCACTCAACTACCAATTTTCTCTTTCTCATCATGCAAAACTCAATAAACGTATTGTGGTTGAGTCAGAACCAATTCATAGCTGACACTCCAGGGGCTTTTAATCACGTGGGAGGAGACAGCCTCATCTTTCTCCCACGGGGTCATCGGTGGATCCAAACTGTCAGAAAATCATCATATTTTTGTCAGGAGAACAACCTTCTGTGGACGAGGCTACCAGAGCTCCCTTCTCATTTTCAGGGCTTGCTAAACTCAGCCCTGTTTCAAATCTGAATTACACAGCATCCAGGGCATGGATTAAAGAAAAGAGTCTTGTAATTGTCCTCTACAAAACAGACGAAAAGGCAGCTCTGTTCTTAAACAGAAATGGCTCTGTTCTGGAATCCTTTCTGAATGGCTCCTGAATTAAACTGTGTCCATCTACCTTCTGGAAGATTAAAAGGGTTGAAAACTCTTCTTAGTCTTTAATTAAACTTCAACATAGGTTGGCCTCCGTCATGATAATCTCTGCTTCCTTTTATTTCTATTTGTAACCAATTGTGTAACCAGGGAGCAGAAACTTCATCCTAAGCAAAGAGATGTTCCACAGATAGTCGGGACGCAACTGCGTTCACCTTGCATCTGACCTTGAGTAATTGCTGAAAAGAAGAAAATCAAGCATTTCCTTTCCTGGATGGTCAAGTGCTTAATTAAATGACACAAATGACGTGGTCTCTATAGATGCTGGAGAAGAGTACCATGGACGACTAGGAGAACAAACAGGTTTGTCCTGGAGAGGGTGAAGCCAGGCTGCTCCTTGGAGGCAAGGATGCTGAAGCTTCATCTGTGGACATGTTGCAAGGAGGGACCAATCCTTGGAGAGGAACGTCATTCTTGGAAGGGTGGAGGGACAGCGCAGGAGAGAAAGACCCTCGATGAGACAGACTGACTACGTGACTGGGGTAATGAAGGTAGGTATATAAGAGACAATAAGATTGGCACAGGATAGAGTAGGATATAGGGCTGTTGTATAAGGGGTCGCTATGAGTTACAAGCAACTCCATGGCACGTAACAACAACAATAACATACTCTACGCTAGGCAGCAATGATGGCCTAGTAGTAAGAAGCTGTCCTGCAATCCCAAAGGCACGTGGTTGGAATCCACCAGTTACTCTGCAGGATAAGGATGGGCCATCTCCTTCCGTGTGAGTTACTGTGTCTAAAAACAACTGGAGGGTCAGCTACAAGTCAGTTCCAAACTGATAATACATCGCATCTTCTGTGTTGGGTGCTAGAGGTGAAGGTGTCACGGTTAAAAGTGTCACTAATTGGTCAAACAACCCAGTCCATCAACAAACGAATGGATAGAGAAGCTCTAGTATAGTCACACAATGGAATACTGTGCAGCACTGAAAAACAAGGAACTCATGAAATATTACACAGAATGGATGACCATGGAGGACATTATGCAGAGTGAAATATCTCAGTCACAAAAGGACAAATGTTGCATAGGGCCACTGTTATAAAACGGGACTGACATTGGGTTTGAGGGAAGACAGAGAAGAAGGGGAGGAATGATGTATACTGCATTAAAACAGATGAGGGAGAGAACTGTTTAAAAGGGATATGTGATTAGGTATTATTGTCATGAGAGGAGTCCAGAGCAAAGCCTGCACAGTGGAGTGGACTTGGGGAGAGGGAATGCATAAGAATAAAAGAGTTTTACTTTTCAAAGAGAAAAGTGAACTGGGGGGAAGGGGGTGGGCAGGGAGAAAAGTGCAACAATGAATGACTGGGAGCCCTAAGTCTCTGTAAACTTTCAATAAAATTAATTTTTAAAACGTGTCACTAGTTGGAACAACAAATGAAAAAGCTAACAAGCTCTTTGTTCTGGCAGTGAAACAGTCATTCCTGAGCTTGGCAGCAATCTCTCTCCCGTTTCTCCCCTCCTCACCTGCAGCCTCCCCGAGGTACTCACCCAGGTACGTGTAACGCCGGTTCATGATCACTTCATCGTTGAGTTTGAAGTAAGTGTTGTCTGTGAGGTTCAGGACTTTGACCGTCCCAGCCCAATAAAATGACCCTGGCGCGCCCATCACCACCAGCTCCTATCAAATACAAATCCAAGTTAGAGGGGGACAAGCGGACACAGGGCCTGGGGTGTGTGCGATGAGTAGCACAGTACCATTCAGAATGCAATTAGTTACTTTACCAAGGACTTCTCTCAACTCAGCAATAATAATAATAATAAAGTACCACACTTGACCACATCCCATGGTAGTTCATAATCTACTGTGCAGATGGGAATCTTTGGACTAAAGACGTACAAGGTGGCAGACAAGTCACACACTAGGCCCTGTCCCCTCCACGGAGGAGGCTGCACATACTTCTACTAGGATCAAACAAGAACATGGAAAGCCTGTGACATTATCCTGAATCACAGAATTCCAGGGACCTCGGCTCATGAAAGGAGCGTGGTCACACTGTGAACTACAAAGTCAGTGGTTGGAGTCCACCGGTTGCTTCTTGAGAGAAAGATGTGGCAGTCGGCTTCTACAAAGACTGAGGCAACGGGTCACTGGTGTCGAAATTGATTAAGAGAAACCAAACTGCTAAATAAACCTTCATCAAAAATGCAATAAAAGATTTTTTAACTGTTCAAAAAGTAAATAAAAATTTGTCAAAATGGCAGAGTTTGTATATGTGTGTGTGCACGTGTGTGTGTGTGTGTGTGTGTGTATTCCTCTGTGAGGTGGATTGATTCAGTGACTGGGATAATCGGGGGATGGGAGTGTCAGAGACAGTGAGATTGGCACAGGACAGAGCAGAGTTTAGAGCTGTTGTACATAGGGTCACTATGAGTCTCAGATGACTCGATGGCACATAACAACAACAACAACATATATTTCTCACTCTGGTGGCCTTGTTGCAAGAAGCTGCACTATAATCCCAAAGGCACACAGTTCAAGGCCACCAGTTCCGTGAGAGAAGGATGGGCAGTCTCCTCCTGTGCGATTAACTGCCTCTGAAAACCTGCTGCAGGGTCAACTATGAGCTGGTTCCAACTCTGCGGTACAACCACAACAACATACAAATATATAGAGCTCTGGTGGATTAGTGATAAGGAGCTGTGCTGCGGACCCAAAGGCACGAGGTTCAAATCCATCAACCACTCTGCAGGAGAAAGATGGACAATCTCCTTCCAAATGATTTGCTACTTCGGAAAACCCTCTGCAGAGTCAACTATGAATTGTTTCTTACTTGACAGTACACAGCAACAACTACACACACAGAGTCACAATTTTTTAAAAAAACTTATATAAGAGAAAAGCAAGAAAATCCTCTCCAGTCCTCAGTTAAAACCCTCTTCTAAGGAACTGTTTTAAAGCATGAATTACTGAACACCAGCGCCCACTATCCACACAGAAGAACAGAACCTAGCGACTCTAAAGGCCCAACTAAGGGAAGAAAATAGACCAGAAAGTGAAGGGGCCCCAGGAAGCACAATACTATCTCTAGAAAGAAACACAAGAATAATAAAATGCAGCACGTTTTCCACATACAGCTTAGAGGCAATGACCCTGCATCTTCAACAGGTCCAACAGCATGTCGATGCTACAAGAACATCTAGTGACCAGTGCTGTTGGCCATTCTAAGCGCTTAATACGACTCAAATGTCCAACAAATCAGCCTGGGCTACGGCACAGTCAGGGTCACAAGAAGATGAAAACTAACTGGGCTAATCAAAGGCTGGAAAAAAATTAAACATCTAACAATTGGATCTGTAGATTATGATCCATTCATTCAAAAGAATTCCATGTAACATAGAAAATACTGCAGAGAGGGGGTGGGCAGAGGAAAAATGCAATCATGAATGAATGAATGAAAAATCCAAAGTCTCTGTAAATCTTCATTAAAATGAATAATAATTAAAAAAATACTGCAGAAGAATAGCTAACTGCATTGACAGAGTCATAATCTGTTATTGAATGAAAAGTACAGTATCAAACAACATGTTGTCTATGACCATGTTTTGTAACATAAAAGTATGTGTAAATATACAGACACCAGGTATACAGGTGTGCCTTAAATGTCTATTTTTGTCCCTTACTGGGTGACAGAATTATGGGAACCTCTTCTTTTTGGTTATCTGTATTTCCTAAAGTACACTGAAATATAATAACAAAAGTAATTTTTTTTAAAAAAGCCAAAATCAGTTATTTTTCATTCAACCAATATTTACTGAGTGCTGCCAACCCAAAAGTGATACCTTTCGGGCAAGTTCAAATCCAGCAGAAACGCCCCAGGAGAAAGATGGGCAATCTCCTATTATGAGGGTCACAGCCTCCCAAAAAATCCACAGGAAGGCCAGGTCTAAGCCGGTTCCAACTTGATGGCAAAGAACTTGAGGATTTTATTACTACAGATTCAAGTTAATGCCAGACATAAAAGTAAATAAATCCCTTTGGAGGGCATTGTCAGTGTTAAAAGATCAGGGAGGTGATGTTTTAGGGCGACAAAAAAAATCACACCTCCAAAGGAGTTCATATGAATATAAACCCGGGCAATGGCCAAGGATGACAGAAGAATGGATGTCTTTGAGCTGTGGTGCTGGAGAAGAGTTTTGAACATCCCATGGACTTCCAAGAGTACTACCAGGTCTGTCCTAGAGAGGGTGAAACCAGACTGCTCCTTGGAGGCAAGAATTTTTGAAGTTCTTTCTCACCTACTTTGGGCAGGTAGCCAGGAGGGGCCAGTCTTTGGAGAGGGATATCATGCTTGGAAGGATTGAGGGACAGCACAGGAAAGTAAGACACCAGATGAGTGAATTAATTGATACAGTAACTGAGGAAATGAGGGTAGGTGTGTCAGAGACAATGAGATTGGCTCAGGACAGAGCAGGGTTCAGAGCTATAGAGCACAGGGTCACTATGAGTCGTAAGCAACTCAACGGCGCATAACAACACTACTTAAGCTTGCTCGAAGTCCCTCTACTAAGCACAGCCCCCCAGTGCAGGTGCAGGCCACCTGGGCTTACTAGAGACCACAGGCACTGTCTAGGTCATGACTCTGATGGTCATACACAGCAAGTTTCCCAGTGGCCGCAGAGACCCCACTCCCACCCCTGCGACATTTCAGAAGCTGGTCTTTCTAGGCAAAGCTGGGTTCCTATACTCTCATCAACTGTGCTTTCTGTCCCTAGATGCTAGGTCCTGTCACCAGAATTCTGAGGTTCTAATGACAATCCATAAAGTCACAGCAGAATTCCCAGGGCACAAGTGCCAGCCAAAGGCAAAAACAAGAGAAAATGAGGTTGATGGGGCAGAGAGAATACGAGAGAGAGAGAGAGCAAGAATGCAAAGGCTGCAGTGATGGGTCAATGTCATGAACAATACACACCCTGTGGTCAGCCTGGGAACGAGAGGAGGGTGGGTGCTGACGAGCGGTGAACTTTAAGGCTCTGAGACTCTAATCCCTGTGAAAGGGGCTGCTGGTGACAAGCCAGGCATTCTAAAAGGCATCTATCTTCTGGTTTTATAAAAATGACCACTTCTAGGAAGCTGCACTGCAATCCCAGAGGTACATGGTTCAAATCCATCAGATGCTCTGCTGGAGAAGGAGGGACAATCTCCTCCTGTACCAGTCAGATTCGATTTGACGGTACACACACAAAAATAATAAAATAAAATAAAAAAGATGGACCACTTCCTGCACCCAGGAGTCATCAAGGCAAAGTAGAGCTGTGCATTAATTCTTTCCTCTTATACACGTCTCTTCTAGGTCAAGGATGGCGTGAGCTCTAGCAGGGTGTGAGGCAGGCACATGATCATTCGGTCAAAGCAAAGGAATTTTTCCGGGCCTTGAACTTGGAATCTGTAAACAGTGTCCAAACACACAGGGCACCAACCAACATAAAGAGCGATGGTCTCCACAGCACTTACACGCACAGTACAGAGCCTTCTCCCCCTGCCGTGTTCCATAAGCCAAGCCTGTGAGCACCCAGCGGTCTTTCAAGGCTCTCTGGGACACAGGGAAGCTGACAGGGTGCATTCGGATGACCTAATCTTTTCATCGTTGTTTGCCACCATTGGGCCAGCCCTAAATCCATGGCAACTCCAGCTGCATGAAGCAGAGCTCCTTCCGTAGCAAGCCACCAGTGTGGGCCTCTTCCTGACATGCCTGTATTAGCACTGTCTCCAGGGACTGCGGGGTGTCTGGGTGTGCCTGAGAGGAGTGAAGGGCTTTTCACTCTGCAAGCTGGCATGAGTAACTGGGCCAGAAATCTGCAACAGAAGACTGTGTGGGTCACACTTGCACCCAAATGGACACAACAGTTGTTGACTCTCCACAGCTGGACCCAATTAGCCCACAGACATCAAAACAAAGCTCTTAAACGAATGCTCTACATAGACCAGGAACAAAGTCTTCTCTTGCTGTGAACTATCTACTCCTCTGCTATCTCGGTCTACACAAAACATAAAGTTCCCAGGAAACTCAATGACGGACTGAAACTCATGTGGAGTCCATAACTGAAAGGACTTCGATAACCCCAGGGTCAGCGGCCTACAGGTCAAACAGGCACTGCGGGTCAGAATACTTCAGGGCAGCATGGTCATGTCCGGAAGGCCACAGAAGTCTGACCCCCTCGGGAAGCGGCTGCCTGTCCTGGGAGGGGAGCTGAGGACTCACAGCCAAGACAAGGCCTGAGTGATGAGGTAGGCAGGCGGGCAGCAAGGGGGAGCAGGGCCAGCCTGACCCCACCAACCGCATTTCCTGCCCAGTCTCAAATAGCTGGAGCTCCAGAAACGAGGGAGGCAAAGAGTTCAAAGAACTCCTGTCTATGAGGTTCAGGAGCCTGGGAAATGAAGTGGGGGTCAAACCCCAGAATCCCCAGGCATCAGAGGATGGAGTAGCCATCGCGGGGCTGCCTTCCCACCCCGTCCACCACCTCTCTCCTGTCCCCCTGCACGTCCCATTCCTGCCTCAGTTTGTTGTGAGCCCGGCAAGCACTTAGGGCCCCCTCACCTCCAGGCATCCTGAGCTTTGCACACCCACCTGGGTTTTCCATCCACACCCCTTTCCTTCCTGCCTCTCCTGCCAAACCCACCTCCTCCCACTCAGACCAAAGTAGCCACCTCTTACATGGAACTCCGAGCACGTGAAATCTCCTCAGAGTGTTGCCGCCAATGGCCAAATCTGAGCTTTTTACTCAACCTGAGTCCTAGCCCACACATGAATACATGAATGAATACACATTTATTATTATTATTATTATTATTATTATTATTATTTTATGCTGATTTACTTACAAAGTTCATCTACACTGTCTTTCACACCAGATCTTTCCCCTTTCCTTTACCCACCCCTCCCTCCACCCATCAAATTGTGCCACCCCATGATTAAGCACCCCCATCCTCACCCCACTGCTTCTCCCCTATCACCGCTCTGCTCCCCCCAATCCTCACCCCATTGCTCCCCTCTCCCCTCCTTGGATCCTTGTACTCATTCTATAATAATGGTCTTATACAGTATTTGTCTTTATGAGACTGAGTTACTTCACTTAGTATATTCAAATATCTTCTAATAACATCTTTCTACACAGAAGGTGGTTGTAATGATGATAATGGGGTGGTGGATAATGATAGTGGAGATGCGAGCCATAAAAGAGGTGGTGGCCGTACTGGAGGTGGTAGTGGTGGTGATGGTGGAGGTGGTAATGGAGATGGTGGTGGTAACGGAGGTGGTAATAATGGAGGTAGTGGCAATGGATGGTAGTAATGGAGGAGGTGGTAACAGAGATGGTAGAAATGGCATTGGTGGTAATAGATGGTGGTAATGGAGGTGATGGTTACAGAGGTGTTGGTAACAGAGGTGGTGGTTACAGAGGTGTTGGTAATGGAGGTGTTGGTGATGGAGGTGGTGGTGGTAATAGAGATGTTGGTGGTAATGGAGGTGATGTTGGTAATGGAGGTGGTGGTGGTAACAGGGGTGTTAGTAATAGAGGTGATGGTTACAGAGGTGGTGGTAACGGGGGTGTTGGTAATGGAGGTGGTGTTGGTAATGGAGGTGTTGGTAATGCAGGTGGTGGTTACTGAGGTGTTGGTAACGGAGGTGGTGGTGGTAACGGGGGTGTTGGTAATGCAGGTGGTGGTTACTGAGGTGTTGGTAATGGAGGTGGTGGTGGTAACAGGGGTGTTGGTAATGGAGGTGGTGGTGGTAATGGAGGTGGTGTTGGTAACGGAGGTGGTGGTGGTAACGGGGGTGTTGGTAATGCAGGTGGTGGTGGTAACGGGGGTGTTGGTAATGGAGGTGGTGGTGGTAATGGGGGTGTTGGTAATGGAGGTGGTGGTGGTAACGGGGGTGTTGGTAATGGAGGTGGTGGTGGTAACGGGGGTGTTGGTAACGGAGGTGGTGGTGGTAACAGGGGTGTTGGTAATGGAGGTAGTGGTGGTAACGGGGGTGTTGGTAACGGAGGTGGTGGTGGTAATGGGGGTGTTGATAATGGAGGTGGTGGTGGTAACGGGGGTGTTGGTAACGGAGGTGGTGGTGGTAACGGGGGTGTTGGTAATGCAGGTGGTGGTTACAGAGGTGTTGGTAATGGCGGTGGTGTTGGTAATAGAGGTGGTGGTTACAGAGATGTTGGTAATGGAGGTGGTGGTGGTAATGGGGGTGCTGGTAATAGAGGTGATGGTTACAGAGGTGTTGGTAATGGAGGTGGTGTTGGTAATGGAGGTGTTGGTAATGCAGGTGGTGGTTACAGAGGTGTTGGTAATGGAGGTGGTGGTGGTAACGCGGGTGTTGGTAATGGAGGTGGTGGTGGTAACGGGGGTGTTGGTAATGGAGGTGGTGGTAGTAATGGAAGTGGTGGTGCTAGATGGACGTGGCGGTGGAAGTGACAGTCATGAAGGTGGCCGTACCAATTATGGGGATGGTAATGGTGGTGGAGATGGCAGCCACGATGGAGGTGGTGGCAGCAGTGTTGGTAAGCTGGGGTGATAATGGTATGAGGGTGGCAGTGATAGTGGCAGCAGTGTTTATGGAGGTGGTGGTGAATGTGACGAAGGAAACTGGCGTTGGTGCTGGTGTTGGTGTTTACTCCAGAGTCAGAACCGACCCGAGCTGACCCTCCAGCAGGTTTTCAGAGGCAGTTAATTGCCTGGGAGGAGAGTGCCCATCCTTCTCCCACAGAGCGGCTGGTGGATTCAATCCACGTATCTTTGGGATTGCAGCGCAGCTTGTTACCACGAGGCCAGCAGAGCTCCCTCATGAAGGGGACAGTAACAGCAAAAGGCTTCATATCTGAGATGTGTTTGGGAGGATAAAATGACAGGTATGCAGATGAATTAGAGGTAAGAAGAAGGTGTTTGGGGTATTTGTCTTTTAACATTTCCCCTGAGTAACTAGATGGCGAGGCATTCCACTTACAAGGTCTAGCAGTGAACTCTGCCCAGGACAGACAGGGTCATAAAAATGTTTGAGAAATGGAGTGTGGGGTTGGTAAAAAGGGTAAACAGAAGATTAACATCAAACAACAGTCCCTAAAAGTCCACTACAAGCCCAAGAACATGCTACTTCTGCATTAGGCACAGATGCTTTCAGCCGATGGGTCTCTAAGTTTGAGAAAAGGGAAGGTTTGGATATATGTAAACTCAGGTCTCTCCACCAAGCAAGGATCTGAAGTTAAAATTATCTAAGGATATAGACACTTTCTATAGATCATTTGATACTGTTTACTCACATACCTTTTCATCAATTCCTTCCACGAGTCTCAAAAAAATCTCTACGTCACACTGATTCCTACAGAAATTATCAAAATGAGGGGGCAGGGTACCCTCCCAATTAGCCGCCCCTCCCAGCCCCCCGTGCAGTGGTCTCTGGCCAGCTGGTCCCTCACCAGATTCACAGACCCTCCCCTGGCTGTGAGAGCCAGAATCTTCTCATTCACTGTGCACGTTTCCGCGACACCAAAGTTCCATCTCAAGGGGTCACCATATCATAACAATCAAGGAAACTAACACCAACGAAACAACAAAAAGGTCCCAAGAGCCAGCACCCACCTCAGTGAAGAAGCCCGAGATCCCAGCCTGGCAGGAGCCGTGTTCCTCACCATATTTCTTCTTGTACTCTGGATGCAGAAGGAAGGGAAGAGGAAGAAAACAGACTTGTCAATTAGTGCGAGTCAGTCCTGTGTGGAGTCCACGGGGGCCCTGAGGTGAGCCTGCCCCTTCCATGCACTGCTGCAGGCTGTGCCCAGGTAGACCTTCCAGGATGGGGCCCAGAGGCAAAGTCTCAGCCATTCACCAGAGCTTCAGATTCTACCCTCGGGAGCCACTAAGGAGCAAGTGGCCTGGAAAACTTCCTCAGCTCATGCCGGGAGAAAGAGGGATGGCTACCTTCGTATGTGAGGGCTGGAGACAATCACTTCACCTATTACAGAAAGGATGCAGACCCCAAAGAGGTCCAGGGAGCTGAAAACATGACCTATAAGTGAAATGCTGTGGCCATAACAGTATAGAGTCGCCTGGTAAAAAGACCCAAACCCATTACTGTGGAGTCAACTGCGGTTCCTCATACAAGACAGAGCAGAACTGGAGGGTTTCCAAGACTGTTGTCTTAAAGAAACTGACTTCCACATCCTTCTTCCAAGGAGCAGGAAGTGGGTTTGAACTGCTGACTTTCTGGTTAGCAGTCAAATGCCTTCCCCATTATGACACCAGGGATCCTGGAAGACCAGTCAATACACACTCAAATACATACTCAGTGCAGCTGGAGGCACCATGCTTCCTGCTATTCCACCAAACTGCACTGAAACAGATGAGGGAGCGAACTGTTTAAAAGGGACATATGAATGGGTATTCTTGTCCTACAGAAGTCCAGAGTGAAGGCTGCATCGTGGAGTGGATGGGGTGGGGGTGGGGGGATTGCATAACAATAAAAGAGTTTTTCTTTTTCTTTTCAAGGAGAAGAGTGAATTGGGGGGAGGGGTGGGCAGGGAGAAAAGTGAAGCAATGAATAACTGGAAATCCAAAGTCTCTGTAAACTTTCATTAAAATTAATAAAAAATAAAAACTGAGAGGTAGGAACCAACTGGATCTGCTGCAGCTCAACACAGACACTGTGTCTCGGGTCTTGCCCTCAATCTTCTTCGTCTGGAAGGAAAATGGGCTGGTATCTCTGGGCCAAGAGGAAACAAATCAAGTAGATCTTTCTCTTCACTACTCCCTCAGCTCTCAACCCTCCTACCTGGCAAAGCCCCTTGCTGCTGTTGAAGTTGGCAGTGTAGAACAGGAGGAAATTCTGCTAAGTGTTTACCATGTTCCAGGCACTGGCTTGGCAGCTTCCATTTACCTTTACGTAACTGACCTTCTCCCTTCTCCCCACCTCCCTGAACAGGTATCTATCTTCCCCAGCAGGTAGGCTCAGAGAGGTTAAGCAAGCAGTCCCAGACAGCGTGTGCATGGCAACGCTGGGATTCGACCCAAGCTCTGACTCAGCCTCTCGTGTTCTTCCATTATCTCGCTGGCCCATCAAAGGCTCTGCAGCCCAGGAAAGGGGCCAGCCGTCTGAAATCACCGCCTGGGCCAAGACAAGAGACCGACCAGCATCCAGCTCAGGTGACTCGAATTAATTGCAAGGAGAATGCACACCCTTTGGCACTGGTTCTTGGCAGCATCTGGGCACTGTCAGGCTGAGGCCACCCAACAAAATAACCCAGTGACCCCGGGTCTTGGCCTGCCTCTCCCACCACTGAAGGCAGTATGATTATTTTTGAAACACAAAATAAATAATACAGAAGAGCAGGGAAGTAGTGATTGCAACATCATCCCACTTCCTGCTGCTTAGAGTGTCTACTTGAGGCGAAAAGGGGGAAGGAAAGGACTCTGGGGAAACACGCAGAGTAATTCAGCTTCTAACAACGCTCACCGCAGAGCCTGGTAACATTTTCCAGTAAGTGGCCATTAACTGACTGCTAAATTACAACGGAATGTCAATTGAGTTACTCCTCTTCCCTGGGAGGGCTGGATCCGCCCCTCCTGCCCGGCCGTGTTGTTATAAGGAGAACTCACAGGCCTGCCAGACCCCAACTTCTTGAAACGAAACTCATTTCTTCTGTACAAACCCATGCCCCAGTGAATGGAGCGAGTGCAGAACAGCACATAAACACTGCATCAAATAGCACAAAGAAAAGAACCATCAGAATGCCTCAACCTGGACACATAGTTATATTAAATATTAAACCTGGAAGGTTCTAAAAAAACACAAAACCAAGCAACATACTTGGAACCAATCCTAGCCTATTTGTTAATCACTCATTTTTAACTGTTGGGGAGAAAAAAAAACAGATTTACAAACCAAAAGCTGTATGAAATTACAATGCAGAACATACCACTTCCGCCTCATAAATGAATGATGGAAATAGGAATCGTATGTGGATCCTTTTATTTTTATTGGATCTTGCACTGTTTAAAGGCAAATGGTCTCAAGATATCTTTGTGGTAGGGAGTCTAAAGGTTATAGCTATAGCAAACGCAATGCTTTTCTCTCCTTCACCCCTTAATGTGCTGGGGTACCTGCTAGAAGCATGACCAGGGGCTGTTTTGATCCAGTGCCCACTCCTGTCCCCAGAATAAAACACTACAAGAAGCAGCTCTTCCCAGCACCTCTTCTCTGCTGTTCAGAGGTACTGCCAACAGACCAGGCCCTGTATTTATAGGCTGGGAACACCACCATCCAGGGTCCGAGGGCCAGGGATACGCATGGAAGGAAGGCATGTTCTACAGACTGTGCAGCTTCTGAAACCCCAGGGTCTATCTGTATCTTCCTCAGATGTCACTGAGTCACTGAGCAGGGCTTCAAACACTGTGGGACCCATGTGGTGCTGACACTCACTGACAGATGACAGGTCATGTTCTGATCTCTCAAGAACATCTGCAATTCTGTGACCCGCTCCTTTAAACCAGAATTCTCCGCATCCTGCCATCATCCTCATAACATTTCATGTGGGGGCAGTTATGGGTCTCGGCAATGCTAGAAAACTTCAACTGGCATCACCAGATTCCACAATTCCACAGCGCCAAGCCTTCCTAAAGCCTTCCTCCACATCTCCATCCAGGTGAAAACAAATTACACACTCACCTCACCACTAAGACCTTTACTTATCAAAGAACTTCTCCAGGACAAAGATGTGGCATCTCAGTAACTGGAACAGCACCTAGGCATGTATTGCATTCTGTATGTGCTTTAGACCATGTGTTGAAGGAACATGTATACACACGCACACACCTGAGTCCCAGTTAGGGTCAGAGGAGAAGGATCAGGTATGTTCCTCTCAGCGCTAAGTCCATGAACTCCTCAGCCTCTTCCCTGTGGCCCTTCACCTGCCTGATCTTCCACTCTCACCTCCTGCTTTGCTCTTACCTTCCAGGCTTTCTCCACTCCATCCCACCCTCCTTGAAAAGAAGCTGTGTTCTGGGTACCAGGAATCCTGATTTCTAGACCTGGTGACACCACCGACCACAGGAGATGGTGGTGGATAGGAGCAGAACAGAGCAAACAGCCAAAGGATGAGAGGAGACATCTCATTTTTTCCTGGGTTTTCCAAACCCAGCATGGGCTGATTCCACCACAGGCATCCCTTCCTTAGCTGGCTTCATCAGGAAGAGCTGGGAAGGAAATTCAGATCCAATTACTCAATCCCTGCCCATCCACCAGCATGTGCCCTCCATGACTGGCCTTGGAGATGTGAGGAACCACAGATGGGACCATCACCCCAGGAGACCCAGACCTAGCAGGCTTGAGCACACGAAGCCGCTATGGCCATGTTCAAGTCCATCCCTCCTGACACAAAGCACTCTTCTTCTGAAGGCGGAGTCTGTGAAAACTAACGTAAGCTCCCGTCATAGAAACACATCCAAGTCATTCCTGATCATCTACCTGTACAGTGTCACGGTGCAAGCCAGGGACTCCCCACCCCGAGCTCTGTGCCCAGCCAAGCCTGTCCCTTTATACTCTGATTAACGTCATTGTGCAGGCTGATTGCTTGGAAAGGGGCATCATGCTTGGAAGGGTGAAGGGTCAGAGGATGAGAAGACAACTCTCAATGTGATGGACGGACACAGCACCTGCAGCAATGGGCTCACGTGTGTCAGAGACGATGAGGACAGCACAGGACAGGGCAGGGTGGTTCACAGGGTCACTAGGAGTCGGACTCGACAGCACCTAACAACAACAACAACAACAACTGGACACTTAATGCTCCAAAACAACTGAGAAAGTATCTGAAAAACACTTTGTAATGTGACAGGGCTGCATAACTGGGGTACTGACTGCCACCTCAAGGGGTTGCTGTGACCTCTGGGGCCTGGGTCACGGGGACTTCTGGGAGCGGTAGTTAGTGACCACATGCCAGCCACAGCGCACTTCACTCTTGGGTACTCCTTCTGTGGGCCAGTGACGCCATTATTATTTTATCTTCTTTCTTCAAAAATCGATCAATCCTGATAAATTGGATTCCATGAGCTGGAGCTAAGACAGCAGGAAAGCCTGCACCATGAAGCTGTGTGGAGAGGGAATCAGCCGAGGGGAACGGGTGCCCCACACACAGCGTCCATGGGAAACCAGTCACACGCCATCTGCCATTGAAAAGTCCAGGAAGTACAGGGTGGAGGGGCCCAGGGTGAGGCCTCCAGGCTCCTGTATCCCCAGGAAAAACTTTTCCTGAACAGACACAAAGCCTGTTGGGGCCCCTGGGCTGTCTGTTCCTGGGCATGTCCACGCAGCGTCTAAATTAAATTCCCCAAGGTGTCTCCCCCCCCCCCCCGAAGAACTGCCGCATGCTAGCTTTCTCTCCACCACAGCAGGGCAAAGCATCTACCCACCTAAGAGAGGTAGAGGAGAACTGGGCTTGCATGAGAGCAGCCCACAGATGCTGTAATAAATCTAACACTGGTGGACTGGGGGGAAATTAGTCCACACACACAAAAAAGTGTTGGTTGAGTAAGGGAACCTACAAATTGAATAGAGGAGCTGGGAAGGGGCTGGAAAAGGCTGTCTTCCTGCAGTGGGTGGGTTTGAATTAGGCGGCCTGCGTCACAGACTTTAATGCATTAAGCCATGTGGTTCCTC